GTTGTATTTTCAGTGACCGGGTATATAGTTTGCGCTTCCATCTGGATGTCTGAGTTTAGCATTTGGTTTTCATTGGGTTGATTGTCCTTAGGATTAGATAGAGGAATCTCTGTGTCCATAGCTTGGGGTGTAGACAGTGTTAATTGTTTATCTGGCTGAGAAGGTAGAGTTTGGACTTGATGGGTTGCTGATTGGTTATGTATTGGGGTTAGAGCTTTTGAGTTTGAATTGGATTGAGATATAGGTGTGTTGTTATCTTTGTCTTGGTTTTGGCTGTCTGGAGAAGGTTGGGTGGGTTGACAATTTTCTCTGGCTGAGTTATTGGTAAAAGAGGTACTTGGGGCAGAAGGGTAGTATATATCTTGAGCTTTCATCCAGTCTCCATAATTACCTTCTGCTAGACACCCATGAATAATGTCTTTGGCTCTTTTGTCACAGTTCTTCTCTAGGTGCCCCAGATAACCACAATAGAAACAGCAGCTGACCAGTCTTTCGTATCTGAATTGAATTTGGATCTTCTTATCTCCGAATTTCAAGTTCGAGCATCGAAGGAGGGGCTGATTAACGTCTAGTGCCACTTTGATCCGTAAGCATTTCCCAGCCAGCGGTCCTCCATTTGGAATAGAAACGTCAACTGTTCTTTTGAAAACTTTCCCGATTTTCAGACCGACCTTTGTAGATATCCAATGTATCGGAATATGCCAAGCTCGGATCCAAATTTCTAATTCTTGAAAACATGGGTGGTCAGCATTAATGCCATCTTCCCAGTGATGTAGTTTGAGGAATTGGTTTTCGTATGTCCAATTAACTCCTTTTGCCACCTTCTCTTTGTCTGCTGCATTTGAGAATATGAATTGAAAGAAGTTATACGAGATTTCCCTCACTGTTACTGCAGATTTAATATGCAACATTTGCGCAATCGCTCTTCTTAGCCCGGCAATGTTGGCCTTTTTCTGTCCGATTATTTTCCCGAATAGACTGCGGTGACACATCTCTTCGCTCATATGGATATCCCCCTGTTCAATTTCAATATCTTCGTTTTCTTTCCCCTCTAGGTTTATGGATCCCAGTTTGATGGATAAGTCTTCTTTGTCCATGGGTTTCCAAGCTTATGACACTAATAGACCGCTAAATCAAAGATACCTGCTATGGAAGAAAAATAGACAAGAAACACGATGCCAGCAGCAGAAACGGACAATAAAAAGTAAGATTAAGAGGGTGAAATTTGGGATGATCTCTAACTCAATGATACCTGCCCAAGGCGGAATTAGGGTCTCCAAAGAGTACTCAGTTTTCCATGGAAGTAGAATTCTGGGATGAAGCTAAGGGAAGAACAGGATGGGGAATCTTCATCTATGCTAGCACTAGCAGTGAGGAAAGACTAGAGCAATGGAATTATCTCTTGTCTGCAAGGAGGGATTGGGGAAACTACTGGTTCCTTGGGGGTGACTGCAATGATATCACAAAGCCAGAGGAGAAAAAAGGTGGCAGAGGGAGATCTTATGCTTCATGCATGCCTTTCAACAGCTTTATCAGTAATATGTGTATGATGGAGATTGGAATGTTGGGATACCCATACACTTGGAGCAATAACAGGGAATCTGAGGGATTTGTAGAGGAAAAAATTGCCAGAATATTTGGCTCTTTGCAATGGATATCTACAAATCAGACAGCTCAAGTGACAAATATATTCAGAAGCTCCTCTGATCACAGTCTACTTCTCCTCAATACCTCTGCTCAAACTACATCAAAGAAGAAGAGATTCTTTTTTGACACCAGATGGTTAGAGAGGGAGGGAATTGCTGAGGAAGTGGAAACAGCCTGGTCCAAGCAACAAGATGGCACTCCAATGTTTGCACTACAATCAAAAGTCAGAGAAACGAGGATTCATCTGTTGAAGTGGAGTAGCAATTTTAAGATTGAACAGGCCAGGAAAATCTCAGAGCTGAACAAGGAGCTGGAAACTTTAAATTCAGAAGGAGGACTTAGAGATTGGAGCAAATGGGACAGACTTTAGAAGGAGTTGAGGGAGGCATACAGATGGGAGGAGAAATTTTGGCTCCAAAAATCCAGAATTTCCTGGCTTAGACATGGAGATAAGAATTCAAGGTTCTTTCACGCTCAAACTTCTCAAAGAAGAAAAAATAATCAAATCCACAGACTTAAAAGAGATGACCAATCTCATTGGGAGACAAAGGAAGAAATTGCAGCTTGCATTGAGGAGTACTATACAAAACTTTTCTCCTCTGAGAGAACCATTACAGGGGACAGTCTCCTCATGGGGATGAGGGAAGTGATTTCAGCAGAGATGAACTCTGAGCTTATGGCACCGATTACTACCGCAGAAATCAAAGAGGCCTTGCAAAGTATCAATCCAAATAAAGCCCCGGGTCCTGATGGTATGTCTTCTTCCTTCTTTCTTTTTTTTGGTCTGTTATTCACGAAGATTTTTGTAGTGCAGTGTGCAGCTTTTTTTGCCTCTGGTAGAATGCTTAAGAGTCTCAACCATGCACTGATAACTCTTATTCCTAAATGTCAAAATCCTGAACTGGTTGCTCAATTTAGACCAATAAGTCTCTGCAATGTCATTTACAAAACCATATCCAGAATCATTGCATTAAGACTTAAACCTTGTTTGCCAATCTGCATCAGTGAACTACAAGCTGCTTTTGTTCCTAATAGACAGATAATGGACAATGTCATTCTTGCTCATGAAGTTTTCCATTTTTTGAAGTCTCATAGAGCTGGTCCTAAGTGTTATATGGCCCTCAAGCTTGATATGATAAAGGCATTTGACAGGATTGAATGGGACTCTATCAGACTAGTTATGTTGAAGCTGGGTTTTAATTTGACATTTGTGTTGTGGATTCTTCAATGTGTGTCCTCTGCTTCTTTTTCTTTTAATGTGAATGGAGAGGTGAGTGGCTTTGTCAATCCATCTAGAGGGATCAGACAGGGGGACCCACTGTCCCCCTACATTTTCATCATCATTTCTGAAATTCTATCTTATCTGATTCAAACTGAAATCTCCAATAGGAATCTGGAAGGGGTAAAAATTTGCAAGAACAGTCCTACGCTCTCACATCTGTTTTTTGCGGATGACACACTGTTATTTGCAAAAGCTGACGTGCCACAAGCTTTAACCCTGTTGGCCATTCTTCAAAACTATCAAATCATCACAGGCCAACAGGTAAACCTAGAAAAATCAGCTATCTTTTTCAGCAAAAACACTCCTATCTCAGTTCAGAATAACATATGCCATACACTCATGGGTATTAAAAGCCACACATCCACCAAATATTTGGGGCTGCCTCTAGGGATAGGAAAATCTAAGATTGCTACCTTTGCCTACATTGAACAAGCTGTAAACTCAAAAATAACAAAATGGCAAAATAGATTTCTCTCTAATGCAGGTAGAGAAGTGCTTATGAAAGCTGTCCTGGGGGCATTGTCCACTTACTCCATGTCCTGCTTTCTCCTTCCCATAGGAGTTCTGAAAAAGTTGGCTGCTACATTTGCAAATTTCTGGTGGAGTTCAGACAGCAACAAAGCAAAAGCTATACATTGGAAATCATGGCAAATGTTAACTCTCCCTAAGAAGCTGGGAGGTATTGGCCTTCAAGATCTTCACACTTTCAACAAGGCCCTCATCTCAAAGCAATTATGGAGACTGTTAACACATCCTAACATCCTGGTTAGCAAAACTCTCAAAGCAAAATATTTCCCAAAGGAAGATTTCTTCACAACCAAGCACAAAAAGAACAGCTCTTGGCTTTGGGCAAGTTGGCTAAAGTAGAGGGACTCTTTCAAGCAGGGAATTCTCTACGAAATCAAGGATGAAAAAGGGGTAAGAATATGGGACCACCCCTGAGTGCCTAACATCTCAAGACTGAACCCACAGACCAGAACAAATGCTCCTCCTAACATCATATGGGTCACGGACTTATTGGAAGAATCAGGGAGAAGGTGGAATAGGGAGCTAGTGAAGTCATGCTTTTCGCATCTGGAGGCCAAAGCCATACTGAACATCACAGGATTGGATCCTCATAAAAAAGACAGACTGATTTGGGTAGGAGCAGAGAGACTTTATTGCCGATTCAGCAACTTCTGTGGATTGAGCTTTAGACGGGATTGAGACGCCCGAAAGCAAAGAGGACCTACTTTAGGCATTTCTTTTTCCCACGTTTTGAACGGGATGGAAACTTCACAGTGTCATCAGCCTACTCAAAAATGATCCTGGAAAAATTCTTACAAATGGACATGCCAGGCACCAGTCAAGATCAAACAGTGCTACAGAAAGCAAGGATGAGAACATGGAAGCTGCAAATTAAACCCAAAGTGAGGCATTTTCTGTGGAAAGGAATGAATAACATAATACCAGTCAACAACAACCTCATCAAGAAGGGAATGCAAATTGATCCAACCTGTCAGATGTGTGGGGAAGACCAAGAAACACAAGAACACCTCTTTTTCCATTGCAAAAGAGCTCAAAGGATATGGGAAATCTCCCCTGTTTCATGGGATGGAGCTCAAACATTCACATACAGCTTTAAACATTGGTGGCCAAAGGTTTGCTCCGTAAATAACTCACCTACTGCAGAGGCCAGACTTCAATTGTCTTCTTATATCCTCTGGTGGATGTGGAAGACTAGGAACTTGTGGGTGTTTACTAAGCAATGGAGATCAGAGAAGGACACAATTTCATTGGCTTTAGAAGACTGGCTGGAATTTCAAAATTGTACATAATGTTTTACTGTTATTTTGGGTGCAACTTTTAGTTATTTTCCTAGTGTTTTGAGGGTTGCTAGGCCATGTTTGGCAGTGGTAAATCCTTTTTGTTTGCCGATTTTTGCTGTGCATAGGGGCTAAAGGTTGATGTGCATTCCCTGGACTCTGAAGTCCTCATAAGCCGGGGAAGATGCATATAACCTTTTTCGGGTTCTCTTACCTTAGGGTGATGTTGTATTAGGACAAGTTTGTCCTCGATGTAAATTTGTTTGAGATAATAAAAGAGTGGTCGCGTAGAATAAAGAAAATGGAAGGAGTCAATTGCCAATAGGAAATATTGCTCCAGGCTGCTTTTGCGACACGAAAACGTGCTCTTTTTACTTACTATCCTCTTCAAAAGTTTTAACCCCAATTTTTAGGGTTTTTCTAGCTCTCGATTCGCTGCAGTTTAAGCTTTTGCTCGATCGCCCCTTTTACACCGCAAGCACCATGGACGTCACCTCAGGCGATCTCGACGCTCCGCATTCTATGGGTACCACCATCATCGGCGTCACTTACAACGGCGGCGTCGTCCTCGGCGCGGACTCACGCACTAGCACCGGTGAGATTTGCCTCTTTTTTTTTATCATTTATTTTCTTCATTCTATGCTGGGTTTCTTCTTGCGATTACGAGTTTTGAAGCAAATGCAACCTTGTAGGGATGTATGTCGCCAATAGAGCATCCGATAAGATTACCCAGTTGACAGATAATGTCTATGTCTGCCGATCTGGCTCGGTGAGGATTCAATTCATTGAGTTTTTGATGGGAAATATAGTATTTAATTCATGGTTTTTCTTATTTAGTTTCCTTCAATGATAACCTTCTATTTTGTTAGAAATTGGTATGTTGAGGGATGGGAACATTAGGTAAAAGGAATTTGAATGGGGGAAATCGTTGATTGCTTTCAATCTTGAGTTTTGGCGACTTGCGTTATATTTGTGCTATATGGTTTTATGTAATGCATCTATTTGTCAAAGGCCACTGGTGGGAAGGTTGTTGGCAGCTTATCGAGTTTGTTTACCGGGTCATGTGGGATTATAAAAATTTTTCTTTGTATTTTTGACCAGGCAGCGGATTCGCAGATTGTATCAGATTATGTGCGCTACTACCTTCATCAGCACACGTAAGTCTCTGAAAATTTAGCATCTTTGATCTCTTTACGTATCATTAACATGTGTTATTGCCATGCTTGTGTTTTCTCTGTTTTAAACTATTTGACTTCTTATTTTGCCAGAAATTTGGTTTTGATGGGATCAGAAACCCGTTTACAACATTATTTTTCTATATGCATGGTTCTGTGAGCTCTTTTTTGTAATATATTCTGTTTTTGCTTATTGATGAGCAAATAAGAAACTGAGCTGAAGTTTACGCTACCATTATCATTTGGAAGCAAGTATGCTACTCTTTTGGTCAATTAATAGTTGATCTCAGGAAGTGGTTTATACCTCTCATTAGAGTCCTACTTGAGAAAGTTGATGAAATTAACTCTTATTTTGTGTACAGGATACAACTTGGGCAGCCTGCTACTGTGAAGGTTGCTGCAAACCTTGTCAGATTGTTGGCATACAATAACAAGGTTTTTGATAAGTTCTTATCTCCTACCTAAGACTGACTCAGTAATACATATTGTTATTGCTTAAAAGATACTGGTAGATCCGTAGATGTGTATTGAGTATAGGTGTGATAAACATAATTTATCAACTTCTTGCTGTGCAAGTCTGTTGGGTAGCATTAGAACATCATCCAATTGAAACAACATATATGTTTATTGCCTATACCTTTCTGTGGAAGAATGTTGTGCAGCCACTAGACTGGCAGTTGATCTGTTTATGATCCATTGGATGCTCTTTAAGACAATGGAAACATACAATATGACACCACTGGAATATAAGTGCCTTTTTTAAGAAAATCTTCCACAGTGGGTCCATGCATTATTGTTTCCTGGAAGCATGCTGATTTCTTAATTTGCAGAATAACCTCCAAACTGGCCTGATCATTGGTGGATGGGATAAGTATGAAGGGGGTAAAATCTATGGAGTACCATTAGGAGGAACAGTTTTAGAGCTGCCTTTCACCATTGGAGGTGCGCACTTAGTGACTAGTGAATTATGTCTTATTCAGTTATTTGCAGAAGTAAAATATACCTTTGTGTATATATTTTCTTCTAGGTTATGTAACAAATATCTTTGTAACTCAGGGTCTGGCTCGTCTTATCTATATGGTTTCTTTGATCAAGAGTGGAGGGAAGGGATGACTCGAGAAGAAGCTGAGGTTTGTATATCAATTCTTACATTTTTTGTTTTCTATGCTCAACCTTCTCAGAGATAATGGCTAATTTTAATATGTTTTTTCAACCTCATCAGCAATTAGTTGTGAAGGCAGTCTCTCTTGCCATTGCTCGTGATGGTGCCAGTGGTGGTGTTATCCGGACTGTGACTGTGAGTTGCTTTTTCGTCACTAACTATGCTCTCCTGGATAAATTATTGTTGCCCATCAACTAATTGGAATTCTGAATTGATTGAAGTGGGATTCCACCACTTGAATAGAAACATTGTGCCTCATGAGCACGTAAAAGAATGTTCTTATTTCTTATCATTCATTTTCACCTCGGGTTTTTGCCTTGTTAAGTCAATAGTACGGTGGACAGGTGCAATAGGAATGTAGTATATTTTTGTGATGTTTTGATTGACATAATTAACTTGCCCGGAAGCTTTAAAGCAAACCTTTCCCCAGGGTTTGATTTCTCCCTAACTTCTCATTTATGGAAATCTTCCTTCTGCAGATTAACGAACATGGAGCTAATAGAAAGTTCTACCCAGGCGACAGCCATCCTCTGTGGCACGAAGAACTTGCTCCCCAGGATTCTTTGTTGGATTCTACGCCGGCTGCCAGTCCTATGATCAGCTAAATGAAAGTTGTTTTCGAACATTTATTTGCACCTATAGTTAGTCTACTATCATTTGGTGCTGTTGAGCATCTGTTTACTATGCTGAGTAATCATTTGGTACTTTCTTAATTTTATTGTTCTTGTATGAACTACTGCTTTTCTGTTATTGAAACTTGCATTTGTGACCATGCTTTCTCAGCAAACACGACCATTTTTTTCCCCTTAAATGATATTAAACGTTTGATTTCACCAGGCAGAAAATTTATAGGAGCACCCCTAGGAATTAATCAACCAAGGAAATTAACAATGATAAAAGAAATTATCTCCTTTTTTTTTTTACCAGAACGATAGGAAATTCTCATAAATCAAAATAAGGAGTTTTGATACAAATAGATCAACAATCTAACATCGAAGGCTAAGCCAGAGACCACTACTACAACTAGTAGGGTAGAATACACAAATCAAACAACACCAAAGGCAGTGATAAGAACCTGAGCCCTCCAGTGCAACCCAAACAAAGACATAGGCTAACAGATACAAACCAAAAGAAAAAGAATAAAGAAAACAGCCACTGAACTGTCTAAACAGACCTAGCTAGTCTTCCTTGTCCCTGGACCTTTCTCTTGGAGTTCACTTTGACAGCTTCTTGCCATTCTTCCCAAGCCCCTGACAGTATGCCTCTCTCGTTCCTCCAAACTTTGTCAAAAACCCAAAGGTTTCTAGCTTTCCAGAGCCACCACAGGATGTATGTGGTGAGCTCTATTCTATCCTCGTCAATGGCAGTCTGGTTGATGGAGCAAATCGATCCCCACCAGTCTTTGAATGTGCAGCCTGGAGTCTTCATTCCATCCCAGTCCAGCTGTGACTTTCTCCACACTTTTTGTGCTCTTGGGCAATCAAGTAGAACATGTTCTATGGTTTCTACAGTTTCCCCACAGCAGCTGCAAATAACATCAATCTCAACCCCTTTGCTCCTCAAGTTTGTGCTAACTGGCAGGATTCCTGAGACACATTTCCACAAGAAATGTTTGATTTTCCCTTTGGTATGTATGCTCCATGTTCTCAATCTCATCTTCTGGTTCCTTGTGGATGTGCTGCTGCCTTCTGGAATGTCAAGGGAGAGTAGCTTTTTGTGGAGCAGAAACTTATATGAAGAGGCCACTGAAAATTTTCCCTTCACTCCCATTTTCCAGCACCACTTGTCCATTGTGTGGGGGTTTAGTGATTGGATGTCTAGGATTGCTTGACAGTCTTCTGCCTCCACCAGCTCCCTAATCTTTGCTTCATCCCATTGGTCTGTGTCAGTGTAGGTAAGATCCTTGACCCAAAGGTGGCCATTGCTGGTGGGATCTTTGAGCTTAGGGCCTCTGCCTCTCAGGCAAGGGACCCAATTGTGATCTTGAAGTTTAACAGTGGCACCATTTCTAATGTGTATATCCAGCCCTTCATGCAGCAACCCTTTCATTTTCCATAGAGACTTCCACAGCCATGAAGAGCTTTGTTTCAGAGTGGCATCAAAAAGGGATGAGTTGGGAAAGTACCTGCTCTTTAAAATTCTGCTCATGAGTAAACTGGGTTGGGTAAGTGTTCTCCATAACTGCTTTACAAGCATTGCCTCATTAAAGAGTTTTATGTCCTTGAATCCCAATCCTCCATGTTGTTTAGTAAGGGTGAGCAAATCCCATCTCTTCCAATGAATGCCTTTTGTATGTTCAGGACCTCTGCTCCACCAAAAAGTGGCAAACAGGCTAGCCACTTCTTTGCAGATGCTCATGGGAAGTCTGAAGCAGGCCATAACAAAAATGGGTAATGCAGTGAGGACTGATTGAATGAGGACTTCTCTGCCTGCCGTGGAAAGGTGTTTGTTTTTCCAGCTTATTAATCTTCTTTTAACTGCTTCAGTCACAAAGGCAAAGACTTCCTTCTTAGACTGCCCAATTCCCAAAGGAAGGCCCAAATATCTTGAGGATTTCTGAATTTGAATTCCTGGAAAAATTTGACACACTTCATTATGAGTTACTGTACTAGTGTTCTTGCTGAAGAATACAGATGATTTGGCCACATTCACTTTTTGCCCCGAGAAGAGTTGATATCTCTTGAGTATAGATTGGAGAACTTGGGCTTGATACCTGTCAGCTTTACAAAATATTAAGGAGTCATCTGCAAACAATAAATGTGTGAGCATGGGAGCACCTCTGGCCACTGAAACTCCTCTAAAAAGGCCTCTCTCCATTTCAGCTGTGATGACTGCAGACAGAACTTCAGATACAATAATGAAGAGGTAGGGAGACAGTGGGTCTCCCTGCCTAATTCCTCTTTCAGCACTGATATAACCACTAGAGCAGCCATTTATGATGAAAGAATAAGAGACAGTGGTCACACACTCCATAATCCATTTGACAAATTGATGAGCAAACCCCATTTTGAGCATGGTAAGCCTAATACATTGCCATTCAATTCTATCAAAAGCCTTCATCATGTCTAATTTGAGTGCCATGAATGCATGTTTGCCTGTTCTGTGTCTGTTCAGAAAGTGTAGACCCTCATTGGCTATGATTACATTATCACTTAGAAGTCTGCCAGGTAAGAATGCAGACTGTGCTTCATTAATACAACCCCCAACACAGTTTCTGAGTCTAGAAGCCAGAATTTTTGAAATAAGTTTGTAGACTATGGCACACAAGCTAATAGGTCTGAACTGGTAAAGATTCTCAGGAGTAGCACATTTTGGGATCAAGACAATCATGGTGTGGTTCCAGTAAGAGAGGAGTTTACCTGATGAGAAGAAACTGAGCACTGCATTGCAAATGTCTTCCTTGAGCATTGGCCAGAAATGTTGGAAGAATAAGGCAGGCATTCCATCTGTTCCTGGAGATTTCCCCGGGTTCATAGAGAATAAAGCTTGTTTGATCTCTTGTGGTTCCACCTGGGCAATAAGATAGCCATTGTCCTCCTCAGAAATGGTTGTAGGTACATGCTGAAGAAGATTTCCCCCTCCAGAGGATCCCTCTGATTTGAAAAGGTTGCTGTAGAACTCCTCCACATGAGTTTCAATCTCTTCCTTAGTCTCACAGATTGTGTGATGGTCTGTGATTAGCCTGCTGATGGCATTGTGCTTCCTTCTCTGCATCACCCAAGCATGGAAGAAGTGGGTGTTCTGATCACCTTCCTTGAGCCATTGAGTTCTGGTCTTTTGTTTCCAGAAAATCTCCTCAGCCTGGTTGGCCTCATCCATTTCCCTTTGTAACTTGTCCCATTCCTCCCAATTTCTGTGACCTCCTTCTTCCCTCATAGCCTCCATAGTCAGAGATAAATGTTTCAGATGATTTAGCTGGGTTGATCTGAAGTATTTACTCCACTGCAGTAAGGCCAATCTTGTCTTTTTAATTTTTTCCTTAATGCTGAAAAGAGGAGTTCCTCCACTGTGGTCCATCCAGGCTTTCTGTACCACCTCTGCAATGCCCTCCCTGTGGAGCCATCTCTGATCAAATTGGAACCTTCTCTTGTGTTTGGGTTTATCAGGCTCAGATTCCAGCAAAATCATGTGGTGGTCAGAAGAGCTTTTGAAAATGGAGGTGGTCTGGCTGTGTGGATACCTTCTGAGCCATTCCAAGGAGGCAAATCCTCTGTCCAGGCATTCTTCTACAAACCCTTCCTCTGATCTATTGTTACCCCAAGTAAAAGGGTAACCTTTGTGGAGAAGCTCTGCCATGCCCATGTTAGATATGAAGTTTTGAAAACCCCTACAGCTAGCTTGAGTTCTCGGTCTACCACCTTTCTTATCTTCTGGCTTGGTAAGGTCATTCCAGTCTCCAATGATTACCCATGTGTTCCCCCATGCCATCTTTTTTTGTTCAAGTTCTAACCACTGAAGCTCTCTGATGTTTCTATCTGTGCTCATGTAAACAAAAATGGCCCATCTGAAAGTCTCATTGATCTGCAGCCTGAATTCCACTTCAATACAAAAGGAAGAGCTAATAATTTGCCTAACTTCAACCTCCCTGCCCCAAAGCAATAATAGTCCTCCACTTAATCCTCTTGGTTCCACTGATCTGCATCTATCAGTAAACCCCAAATTTTTACAAACAGTCATAGTGAACATATTAGTATTCTTAGTTTCAGATAAGAAAGTAAAATGAGGGTGGTGGGTCCTTAAGGACTCCTTGAGCTGGGAAACTGTGGAGGCCCCACCCAGGCCTCTGCAGTTCCACACCTGAGCTCTCATTGGTCACTTTGGGGCCATTTGAGGCTGGCCTTCTCCACCTGTTTCAGCTTCTTGGGTTCAGATTCTTCCTCCTTATTTTCCTCTTCCACAGTGTTGAGAAGAGTGCCACCTTGTCTGCCTCTCTTTAGTCCTTGCAGCTGGGACAGTTCCTTTCCTGTCATTTGTTTTCTTTGCAGCCTTCCTTCCTTATTGCCTGCTCTTTTCCAGGTTTTTAGTTTGGAGACAGAATCCTCCTGAGGTGCTAAATTACTGTCCTTCACAGCTAGAGCCAACTCTTTGTGAGGATATTGTGGATCTGTCTGCATTATCTCAGTGTTAGTGCAATCCATAGCTGCTAGAATAGGGGTGACCACAGTGTGAGGATTTTGTTGCTGGATTGCTTCCCCAGGAGAGCTTTGGTTATGGACAAATTCTTGTCTGGAGGAGCTGGATTCCACTATGCTAAGATAATTACTCGGTTGCAGAGGGACTGCTAAGGTGTCAAGGTTAAGTGGACAGATTGGTTTATCAGAGGTGGTAGGTGGGTTAGGTGTTTGGTGGGAGGCAGTTGGTGTTTCTGGTTCTTGGTCAGTGGATCTGCTGCCTTGCCCAGATGAATAACTGTTTCTGACCTCTGGTGCCCTTAGCCATGTACCATATTGTCCTTCTTTGATTTGTCCTTCTGCAATGTCCTTTGCCATTTTCTGACAGTCTCTATCTAGATGGCCAATCATGCCGCAGTAATAGCACAGGTTGATAAGTCTCTCATACTTAAAGGTCACGGTGATGAGTTCGTCTCCTAGCTTGAGCGATGTGCATCTTGGAAGAGCCTTGTTAATGTCCACTGAGACTAGAAGTCTAATGATTCTGCCTCCTCCTGCTGCCGTGGTGATCCCTATATTTTGGGTGGCTTTGAAAATTTGACCAATCTTCAAACCTACATCTCTGCTAAGCCAATCCATTGGCACATTATGGACCTGAGTCCAGAGTTTGATTTCTTGAAAGCAGCTGTCTTTCTCACTGATTCCTCTTCTCCATTTATGCAGCACTAAATACTGGTTTTCATAAATCCAGTTGGTACCCAGCAAAACTTTTTGCATATCATCTTTGTTGTCGAATATAAATTGGAAGAAATTCGATGAGATTTCACGCACTTCCATACCTTGCTGGATTCTCCATATGTTCATTAGAGCTCTTTTAAGTCCGATGAGGGAAGCTCGCCTGTTGCCTATAATTTTTCCCATTAAGCTTCTGGCGCATTCCTCCGCACTACCCTTTATATCGTTGCGACCCAGGTCAATGACCAAGCTCTCCTCCCCTGAGAGGGAAAAGTTCTTTAGCCTTTGGGTCATGTCCTCTGCTGTGCCAGAGACTGCCTCTGGGGTTCCCATTAGACGATTAGGTTAGAACTGAAAATGCTAATCAGAGAAAAGGAAAAGGTTGCAAGATTGCAAGTTGGAGTTAAACAGTTGAATGAAGAGAACTTGTCAAGGACTGAACTTCACTCGAAGGAATGAGCCCTCAGACGACGGAATCTGCCCTCACTCGACGGAATCTCACTCCCACCTGAGAGAATTAAAAGAAATTATCTCCTGAAATCTCGTTTTGTGAGAAGATTTTGTCGGCTTTTGGTTGGATATTATATTACATCTTTCTTTTTTCCATTTTTCTTTTATTTATTTATTTATTGGTGAACAAAAATTAATAACTAACTGAATTGTAATAGTAAAAGAGTAAAATAGTACAATCATAATTGTTAGTTGGGACCTTCTAGAGTCAGGTACTCCTTGTACCTACTGAACATCAGATATCCTGTAACGCCTCAAATCAGTAATAATATTTAGAACGGTTTCACTGCTCGACTATAAGTGAAATCCGTAAATTTTAGAATTTTTCGAGTTATATTTTATATGCTAAATGATCAAATCTAATAGATTATTTTTTGGAATATTCTATATCAAGTTTAAGTTAAGATCAATCCATTAATTTGGATTGTTAAATTATAGCTATTCAACTCGAGAATTTGTTCGGCTTCGAACCCTAGTTTATTCTGAGTAATTTTTCTAGTAAATCCCGAGCATAGCCGATAATTGGTATTTTGATATTTAGAATATTTTTCTAAGTGTGTTAAAATATCAAAGTTGAGCCTTGGACATTTTATAATCGAGCCTAGCACTTAACCGAGCCGCTCGTGCCAAAGCACCCGCACCCGCGCCAAGCTTGCGTCCTCCGAGCCAAGACTTGATCCAAGCCTTAACCAATGTTTGGAAATTTTTCTGAGTCCAAAATTCATCTAAGGACCAACATTTCCTTCACCCCAAGCCATTTCACGCACGCAGCCCGGGTCCAGCAAGCAGCCTCGCGCCCAGCCCGTGTGATGAGTGATCATGTATCCGCTCAACTCGATTGCTCGAAACCCGCGCCGGCACCTTGGTTCCTTCGCGATAGGTGTGAAGAAAATCGAATGTCGGTCCTATTTCTAACACGATTTTGTATGTAAATCACACACGAGATTTGGTGATCGAAACGATCGATTTCTCTTATTACTTGGATGATAAAAATTGAATGACAATGGGTAGTATTTATAGAGACTAAGTAGATCTAATCCTACACTAACTAGAATTCTACATCATGAAAGAGAATAAACTTCTAAGGAAACTAAATATCCTAATATCTAAGACTTACCAAATAATTAATTAACTAAATAGGCACATGCCTTTATTCAAGATCTCTTAACCAAACTAGAATCCTAATTATGTTAATAAAATCGGATCCCCCACTCTTGCTTACGCCGCACGCCGGTCCAAACCTTAGCCGCTCGACGCTAAGCCTTGTATTCCTCGGCATCGGTCCCGTGCGCGCCCCACGCGTTCCACGCGTTATCCGCGTCATGCCTCGCGCGCCTGTCCGCCGCCTCTCGCGCGTACTCCCCTGTCGCGCCCTGCGCGTGTCCGTCTATCGCGTCTCGTGCTATCCCGCGCGAATTCCCTGTCGCGTGGTCCTCCTTCGCGCGCTGCTGCCCTGCGCGCCTCATCACCGGGCCTATGCGTATTGCCGGTGTGCGTACCGTGCGCCCGTCATGCGCGCGCCATTTTATGCGCGTACGCGCCCTCTTGCCATGGCCTCTCGGCCTGTCCCGACGGCTTGCGCACCTTTCCTCTTGGTCATCGTAGGCCTTGTCCTCGGGCTCGAATGGGTCAATGACCACATCCTCATCATTCCCGCCCCCTTTAAGCAAATCCTTGTCCTCAAGGATCGGGATATAGTACTCGTGCTCGCTCTCTTCCTCTATTAGTTCTATCCATCGTAGCTCCGCACTATGGGTTGCTCCCCTTGGCTTGGTTTTTAACATGACTAACCTATTATCCGAATAAAATTCCATTATCCCTCCTTATAATTTTGTTTTGACTTCTCCAAGTCCTTCTAGCCATTGTACTCCAAGAACTATGCCGGGCCCAACCAATGGTAATGAATAGAGGTCGGCCTTAATGGTCTCGCCTTGAAGATTGATGGGCACGTCTCGATAATACTCACGACATCGTAGTCTTTCTCTGTTGGCGACCCTCACGTCAAATGGCTCCACCTTCGTTGCCGGTAATTTCAATGCGTCAGATAATATGGCACTAATAAAATTGTGGGATGACCCGGTGTCAATTAGCACCTCGATAGATCGCCCTAGGACCGACGCGGGCAACTTAATGGTTCTCGGTCCGTGCACTCCCGACATCGCATTGACTGAAATTTCCAAGTCCTCCTTGACGTAGTGTCTTGTTTCCACTTCCTCGGGTTCCTCCTCGTCACCTTCCATGGTGTACAATTGTTGCTTGCACCGATGACCCGGCATAAATCTTTCGTTGTAGTGGAAACATAGACTCATGGAAAATAGTAGTAAATAGAGGCAAAAATGAAAAAAAATTCGACGTCTCCGGAAAAGCATGGTTTCGAACACGACACTATCATTTGATGTGAATACCATATTTGTCGCGCACCATCGTGTTTTGAAGTAAAATCATATACATTTAAAATAGCCATGGAAAATCGTAGTAAATAGAGGCAAAAATGAAAATTTTTTCAACGACTCCGGAAAAGCATGGTTTCGAACACGACACTATCATTTGATGTGAATAACATATTTGTCGCGCACCATCGTGTTTTGAAGCAAAACCATATACATATAAAATAGCTATGGAAAATAGTAGTAAATAGAGGCAAAAAATGAAAAAAATTTCGGCGTCTGCGGAAAAGCATGGTTTCGAACACGACACTATCATTTGATGTGAATAACATATTTATCTCGCACCATCGTGTTTTGAAGCAAAATTGTATACATTTAAAATAGCCATGGTAAATAGTAGTAAATAGAGGCAAAAATGAAAAATATTTCGACGTCTCCCGAAAAGTATGGTTTTGAACACGACACTATCATTTGATGTGAATAACATATTTATCATGCACCTCTTGTTTTGAATAAAATCCGTGTTCATTTAAAATAGCAATGGAAAATAGATGTAAAAAGAGGCGTAAATGAAAAAAAAAAATCGACGTCTTCGGAAAAGCATGGTTTCTAACACGACACTATTACTTGATGTGAATAACATATTTTTCGTGCACCATCGTGTTCTGAAGACAAATCGTATACATTGAAAATAGCCATGGAATATAGATGTAAATAGAGGCAAAAATGAAAAAAATTTCGACGTCTCTGGAAAAGAATGGTTTCGAACAAGACACTATCATTTGACATGAATAACATATTTGTCGCGCACCATCGTGTTTTGAAGCAAAATCTTATAGATTTAAAATAGCCATGGAAAATTGTAGTAAATAGAGGTAAAAATAAAAAAAAATTCGACGTCTCCGGAAAAGCATGGTTTCGAACACGACACTATCATTTGATGTGAATAACATATTTGTCGTGCACCATAGTGTTTTGAAGTAAAATCATATACCATTAAAATAGTCATGGAAAATAGTAGTAAATAGAGGCAAAAATCAAAATTTTTTCGACGTTTTCAGAAAAACATGATTTTGAGCATGACACTATCATTTGATGTGAATAACATATTCTTCTCGCACTGTCATGTTTTGAAGAAAAATCTTATACATTTAAAATAGCCATGGAAAATTGTAGTAAATAGAGGTAAAAAAAAAAAAAAAAATCGACGTCTCCGGGAAAGCATGGTTTCTAACACGACCCTATCATTTGATATGAATAACATATTTGTTGCGCACCATCGTGTGTTGAAGCAAAATCGGATACATCTAATATAGCCATGGAAAATAGTAGTAAATAGAGGCAAAAATGAAAAAAATTTAGACGTCTCGGGAAAAGCATGGTTTCGAACACGACACTATCATTTGATGTGAATAATATATTTGTCGCGCACCATTGTGTTTTGAAGTAAAATCGTATACATATTTGTCGTAGCCATGGAAAATTGTAGTAAATAGAGGCAAAAATGAAAATTTTTTCAAAGACTCCGGAAAAGCATGGTTTCGAACACGACACTATCATTTGATGTGAATAACATATTTGTCGCGCACCATCGTGTTTTGTAGCAAAACCATATACATTTAAAATAGCCATGGAAAATAGTAGTAAATAGAGGCAAAAAATGAAAAAAATTTCCACGTCTCCCAAAAAGTATGGTTTGAACACGACACTATCATTTGATATGAATAATATATTTCTCATGCACCTCTTGTTTTGAATAAAATCCGTGTTCATTTAAAATAGCAATGAAAAATAGATGTAAAAAAGAGGCCTAAATGAAAAAAAAAATCGACGTCGTCGAAAAAGCATGGTTTCTAACACGACACTATCATTTGATGTGAATAACATATTTGTCGCGCACCATCGTATTTTGAAGCAAAATCGTATACATTTAAAATAGCTATGGAAAATAGTAGTAAATAGAGGCAAAAATGAAAAAAATTCGACGACTCCGGAAAAGCATGGTTTTGAACACGACACTATCATTTAATGTGAATAAAATATTTGTCGCGCACCATCGTACTTTGAAGAAAAATCGTATACATTTAAAATAGCCATGGAAAATAGTAGTAAATAGAGATAAAAATGAAAAAAATCTCGACATCTCCGAAAAGCATGGTTTTGAACACGACACTATCATTTGATGTGAATAACATATTTGTCGCGCACCATCGTGTTTTGAAGCAAAATCGTATACATTTCAAATAGCCATGGAAAATAATAGTAAATAGAGGCAAAAATAAAAATCTTTTTGACGTCTTCGAACACGACACTATCATTTGATGTGAATAACATATTTGTCTCGCACCATCGTGATTTGAAGCAAAATCGTATACATCTAATATAGCCATGGAAAATAGTAGTAAATAGAGGCAAAAATGAAAAAAAATTCGACGTCTCCGAAAAAGCATGGTTTCGAACACGACACTATCATTTGATGTGAATAACATATTTGTCGCGCACCATCGTGTTTTGAAGCAAAACCATATACATTTAAAATAGCTATGGAAAATAGTAGTAAATAGAGGCAAAAAATGAAAAAAATTTCAGCGTCTGCGGAAAAGCATGGTTTCGAACACGACACTATCATTTGATGTGAATAACATATTTATCTCGCACCATCGTGTTTTGAAGCAAAATCGTATACATTTAAAATAGACATGGTAAATAGTAGTGAATAGAGGCAAAAATGAAAAAAATTTCGACATCTCTGAAAAGCAAAGTTTCGAACACGACACTATCATTTGATGTGAATAACATATTTATCGCGCACCTTCGTGTTTTGAAGCAAAATCGTATACATTTCAAATAGCCATGGAAAATAATAGTAAATAGAGGCAAAAATAAAAATCTTTTCGACGTCTTCGAACACGACACTATCATTTGATGTGAATAACATATTTGTCTCGCACCATCGTGATTTGAAGCAAAATCGTATACATTTAAAATTGCCACGGAAAATACTGGTAAATAGAGGCAAAAATGAAAAAAAAATTGACGTATCCGGAAAAGCATGGTTTCGAACACGACACTATCATTTGATGTGAATAACATATTTGTCGTGCACCATCGTATTTTGAAGTAAAATTGTATACCATTAAAATAGTCATGGAAAATAGTAGTAAATAGAGGCAAAAACCAAAATTTTTTCGACGTTTTCGGAAAAACATGATTTTGAGCACGACACTATCATTTGATGTGAATAACATACTCTTCTCGCACTGTCATGTTTTGAAGAAAAATCTTATACATTTAATATAGCCATGGAAAATTGTAGTAAATAGAGGTAAAAATAAAAAAAAAACATCGGCGTCTCTGGGAAAGCATGGTTTCTAACACGACCCTATCATTTCATATGAATAACATATTTGTTGCGCACCATCGTGTGTTGAAACAAGATCGTATACATCTGATATATCCATGGAAAATAGTAGTAAATAGAGGAAAAAATGAAAAAAAATTTGACGTCTCGGGAAAAGCATCGTTTCGAACACGACACTATCATTTGATGTGAATAACATATTTGTCGCGCACCATGGTGTTTTGAAGTAAAATCGTAAAGCAGGACGAGGTTGTTTATATACTGCGAGTGTTCACACTAGGGGCGGTACCGTAATTACTTGGTTTGTTGCGTTCACACTTAAAGAGTTGGTTAATTACGGTACCGCCCCTAGTGTGAACACTCGCAGTACATATTTGTCGTAGCCATGGAAAATTGTAGTAAATAGAGGCAAAATAGAACATTTTTTCCACGACTCCGGAAAAGCATGGTTGCGAACACGACACTATTATTTGATTTGAATAACATATTTGTCGCGCACCATCGTGTTTTGAAGCAAAACCATATACATTTAAAATAGCCATGGAAAATAGTAGTAAATAGAGGCAAAAAATGAAAAAAATTTCGACGTCTCCCGAAAAGTATGGTTTTGAACACGACACTATCATTTGATGTGAATAACATATTTCTCATGCACCTCTTGTTTTGAATAAAATCCGTGTTCATTTAAAATAGCAATGGAAAATAGATGTAAAAAGAGGCCTAAATGAAAAAAAAAAATCGACGTCTTCGGAAAAGCATGGTTTCTAACACGACACTATTATTTAATGTGAATAACATATTTTTCGTGCACCATCGTGTTCTGAAGACAAATCGTATACATTTAAAATAGCCATGGAATATAGATGTAAAGAGAGGCAAAAATTAAAAAAATTTCGACGTCTCTGGAAAAGAATGGTTTCGAACAAGACACTATCATTTGACATGAATAACATATTTGTCGCGCACCATCGTGTTTTGAAGCAAAATCTTTTAGATTTAAAATAGCCATGGAAAATTGTAGTAAATAGAGGTAAAAATAAAAAAAAATTCGACGTCTCCGGAAAAGAATGGTTTCGAACACGACACTATCATTTGATGTGAATAACATATTTGTTGCGCACCATCGTGTTTTGAAGCAAAACCATATACATATAAAATAGCTACGGAAAGTAGTAGTAAATAGAGGCAAAAAATGAAAAAAATTTTGACGTCTCCGGAAAAGCATGGTTTCGAACACGACACTATCATTTGATGTGAGTAACATATTTATCTCGCACCATCGTGTTTTGAAGCAAAATCGTATACATTTAAAATAGCCATGGTAAATAGTAGTAAATAGAGGCAAAAATGAAAAAAATTTCGACATCTCCGAAAAGCATGGTTTCGAACACGACACTATCATTTGATGTGAATAACATATTTGTCGCGCACCATCGTGTTTTGAAGCAAAATTGTATACATATAAAATAGCCATGGAAAATAGTAGTAAATAGAGGCAAAAATAAAAATCTTTTCGACGTCTTCGAAC